AGTTCTTGGAGAGTGCGAAGGAGGATCTGATGATTCACCGTGTCAAATGCAGCAGACAGTTCCAGAAGGATGATGACAGAGGAGAGGGAGGCTGCTTTAGCCGTGTGCAGTTCCTCAGAGACAGCAAGGAGAGCAGTTTCTGTTGAGTGACCTGCCTTGAAACCAGCCTGGTGCGGATCAAGAAGGTTGTTCTCATGGAGATAACAGGAGAGTTGTTTAAAGACAAGCGCGTTCAAGTGTTTTAGACAGGAACGGGAGGAGAGGGACAGGCCTGTAGTTTATAACATCGGACGGGTTGAGAGTGGGTTTCTTTAGGAGAGGCGTTACTCTTGCCTCCTTGAAACTGTTTGGAAAGTGACCAGAAGTTAGAGAAGTTTGATGAGATGGGTGAGAAACGGTAGAATATCAGGAGCGATAGTCTGAAGGAGGTTTGAGGGGATAGGGTCCAGATTTAAAGACTGTATTTATAATANACTGTATATACACAAATTTTATTTAAATTTTAATATTTGCTGATATGTTTTAAAACTTACCATTGTTTCCTTTGGTTTTTGACGCTGTTGCCACTATTAACAATGGTAAGTTTTAAAACATATCAGCAAATATTAAAATTTAAATAAAATTTGTGTATATACAGTTGTAAATTAAGTTGTCATGTTTTAATAATAAGCAGTTAGATAGTAAATTGTGCTAATTCATTAATCATTTAAGTAATTGTTAAACGCAAACAATATTTCAGTCCGTCAAATATGAATATTTACTGCTTTTTCTCTGTTTTATATCAAATTAAAGTGAATATCTTTGGTTTTTGGACTGAAACCAAGATATTTAAAGACTTCAGTGATACAAAAAACCAAGGCCATTATATATTGTAAAGGAGGAAGAATATATCAAAGTAAAATATCTGTTAAACATACAGGTATTAAAAGTCAGCCATCCGTGTTGCACACAGTGAGAGCATTAAGTCTGAGATAAGTAAAGGTGGAATGTGGAATAAAGACCGCTTTGTTTCAGTGCTTTTTAAACATAAGCTCAAATATGTCGTCACTTCTTAAGAGGCATTTCGCAATGATTTACATTTCTCAAACTTGTGAACAACGGATTTACTGATAAAAATGCATTCATGAATATAGAAAGATATTCTCAGTGATATGGGGAACAAAATGTCCCTTTCTGCTCAGAGACACAATATTTCTTTCTATATTATGGAACGCTTCTGCATTCAAATGTCTAAAAACAACTAGACATTTTTGCTTTATTGTGAACTGCCATTATCCTAAATGTTTTCAACAAAGCTAAACTGCAATCTGTAGAAATCTGTTTTGAAAATATTTAAGGTTTAACTTCATATCTCCTCAACTCCCTCCAGTTGATCCAGGAATATAAAGAAACACATATATCCATATTTATATCGTGGTGGGAAACAACATTAGGTATCTTTATTAAGAGATTAAATTATATTCTCTTAGCTGTTTCTCTCATTCCTTACTATTTACAAATAAAACCAAGTATAACTCAACATTTACTACGTCTCAATGCTATAAATGTTTTCTATCAAAGCCTTTAATGTGCTCTATAAATAAAGGTGCCTTGGCAGCGACAGCTAAGCAAATCCTGAATCCAAATGATTGCTTAACGTCTAATCAACCTAGCTTATAGTTCATGACAAATATGAGAGTTTTGACAAGTGTGCAGTCAAAGAGTCCTTGAGTCTTTGTGAAGCCGTTACCATGTCACACTCAAGATCTTTTAATAAAGCTGTAACTTCTATTCAAATGCTTCACCGAGGCAGGAGTCTTTGCTTTACGGTACTTCAGGAAGGCTTCACCTGCACCTGTGGGCAAACTGCACTCAGACGTCCATTGAGCTTTCAGTTCTGGACTTCTTTAAAGTCATGCTTTGCTATCAGTCTGTAGTGAAGCCCGCAGGGTGTTTCCGTCATTTCTCTGACACGTTTGCCATGTGGAGGCCGGGCCGACCCGAGGAGGTTGAATTATTTAGTGCCACTCTACTCTTAAAACACGCGAGCTCAGACTGACTACAATAATAAAAGAAGACGATTAAACAACACAGCTTCATTTACTGCACTGTAACTCATGCTCTGATGGAGGCGCTGAGAAATCGGATGGATTTGTTATCTCAAAAGCTCCAAAACTAAGCTCCAGAAAGCTATGAAACTTTTAAATGGACCTTGTAATGCGGACTCAATTAGGGTGATCCATTAATATGATCATCTTTCAATTATATTGTTTTGTGATTAAACCACATCTCTAGGTAGTGTGATACACAATAGCGTTATTTAAAATGATAAGAAGCTCATACTAACAAAGAAAGTGTCAGATAATGTTTAATATTTTGAAGGAACATCATTAGAAGACAGCACTTTTAGTTTTCACGTAAGCACTCAATATTTGATTTATAATCTGGACTCAAATGAAATCAAACTATTGCCTCGATCTTTTTACTTTCCATGTGTGAGAATGCCAGCAAACAGTCGTGTATAACCAGAAATGTTTCTATATCTTGTGATTAATTCCACTGCTAGGTTTATTTTGCCCATACCAAATGACGCAAGATAAGGGAAATAAACATGTAATAAAATACATGTCACCTCAACGGTTCATGATTAAATCAAATACTAGCTGAACAATATTACTACAGTTCAACATTACTTCAAAAAGCAACACAAATATACCCTTTTATTGTAAAAGAAAATTCAGTAAGGAGTTTTCTGTGATCTTAGGAATAAAATAGTATGAAAGACCTGTTTAAGCTCTGATGTCATCCCTCCCAGAGGCAGGAAAGCTGCAGGACGAAACAGGAAGTCCTCTCAGGCTCATTGTGTGTCTAATGATAACAAAAAGCCTTGTGGTCCTGTTACCTGCCTGCCACACATCACCAACTCCTACTTTACAGACACAAGGCGTCACAGAACCTAAACCAGAGGAGCCGAACAAAGAGGCGACAATTCAGAGGGAGGAATGCAGCGGTGAAATGGATTAGAAACCCTTTCTATTCAAAGTAGAAAAACCCACCATGAAGCTGATGACAGAGTGAAACAAATCCAACAGAAACAATGGTCATTCCTTCACCTTGTATAAACACCTAGTACACACTCACCCGGGTGTACGTGTTCCTCCTAGTCTGTGACATGCTTCCCCCAAAAAACGCCTGTCTCGATTGAAGGAGGGTTATTGGGAAGAGCCAGACAGATAGGGGGTCTATGAGAGGGGTGTGGGGGAGCGTCTCTCTTCCTCTTCGTCTCTGCACAGAATCACATCATCCCTCTCCTGATCCTCACAACAAACTCCCCCGGCCCTCCTCTCTGCAACCAAAAAAAAAGCCTGCAGGAGCTTTCTTTGGGCTAAAGTTTCTGGAGGGGAAGACAGGGGATGATCCACCCCTCTGATGATGAATGGACCAGAGGCAAACAGAGATGAAGGGGGGGGTATAACATCCAGGCTGCTCTGCTGTGAGTGCATCAGCTGAGAGGTAGCACTGCGCTGTGCTAGTGTCTGCGCTGGCTCATGCAGGAGGGGGGNGGGGGGGGGGGGCAGACTGAGCTACTGGGTCCTAAAGCCTGCAAATACACGTCTATAAAACTCTCAGAATAAACCTGACAGTCATTATCACCATGCATCTCCAGTAACGCTCTGTGGATGATCAGAGCGCAGTTAAATTCCTGATAGGGCAAATCATGAAACTACCAAATGCTATGATAATCACTACTTATTATGATCCGTCAGATGAAAAATATCATCAACAAATATTTTGTTTGGTGGAGGACAACCATTAGGGACATACGGATTTGGGAAGCATGTCAAAACTGCGTATTACGTCTGGTAAAATGCTTATATATAAAAAATACAGACTCAGATTTTAAAAAGTTGTGTACAGTTGAGGTTGTTTAGGGACACAAAAATACCTCAGACAGGCAAATAATTAAAGTCTTTCTGTATAGTATTTATTTAGTCCCATGCATGACTTAAGTTGTTCTTTGTTTGAATTCAATAAAGTACCAAATGATATAATTTATAATCACTACGGTTTTTGGGGCAAACAGTCAACAAAAAACACTCCTTCAAGAATGCAGCAAAGAAATATATTTAAAGAGCCCAGATGTGTCCTAACACTGCAGTTCGTCTTAAGAAACACTTACTTATGCCTACTCAAATCGTGGGGGAAAAGGAAAGGGGGGAGAAGTAGAAAAAAAAAACACAGACGGTAAGCGTTTTTGAACCCGGGGGTGGGGGGTGAACCAGTTCAATTCAATCTGAGGCCGTGTCATTGTGGCTGCACACAAAGGGCCCAGGTGATGCTCTGTTATGCGGCACACTGTAAGCATTATGGCTCCGCCTGACGGATTAACTCTCCTTTATCAGCTTTTATCAGCGAACCGCATGGCTGGACCTTTTTTTAAACTCTCTGTTTCTGTGCTGCCATCTTTCTGCAATGGAAGCAAACTCTGCAGGGGTTTCTGTGTAAAAGCCTTCAACCTGCACGCTAATAAGAGATGTTGGATAAGAGTCTGCATTTCAGAATCAGGATAAAAGAGACACAGCCTTGAGGAGGGGAAGATATTTCCAAATAATGCTCAGAAAGCTTAGCAACAAAACATAGATCATCAGGGTAACAACATGTCAACCTTAGGGCTGCAGTTTACCAGAAAACACTTGAAAATCTATAGTCAGTAAATCATTGTCTTATGTTTTAATGCAGAATGACTATTTAAATCAACTTATCGACAAGTCATTACCTAATAATATATCTAATGAGGACAGTATTATGAGGCAGTATTTTGTGGCTTCAGAGCATTAATAAAAGTCTCAAACGTGCATTTAGAGTATGGAAAATGACTTAAGTATACACAATACAGGCTGATATGTATAACTTAGGAGAGTGATACACAGTTGAGGATGTTTAGGGACACAAAACAAGCCTCTGCAGTCTCTTTGCACCCTTTTTTGCCAATGACGACAGAGGGGGTGTCAGGGATTTGTGGGAGGTAGAGAGGGGAGAGAGGGGGAGCCCTTATCTCCCACTGAAGGAATAATACGGAGACAACCAGCAGCCAAAAACCAAAGAACTAGCAAAGAAATGGCTTCTCACAACAGCATCGAAAAGCTTTTGATGCTGTGAGTTTTTTCAGAGCACAGGAAGGTTTGCGTGATTTTTAGGAGGAGCGTCACGACCAAACTGAACCTCTGCAGGTCCAGCAGGAACAAATGGACGTCACTAAAAAAAGTAAAGAAGAGCAAGTGGACGCCCTGGAAGCTGGTGTCAAGAAGGCTATTTAGAGGATATATGAAGTTTGGTAAGTTAATTTGTTATAGTTGATTCGTGGGCTGAAATGCAAACTGCTGTGTCAGGGCTCATGAAGGAAAGGGGAGTTTCATTCAGGGCTGCATATTTTTGTTATATAAAAAAAAAATGATTACAATATATTTATTATCTTTTTTCAGTAATGTCTTCATGACATCGAGAAAATCAAATGCCTTAGTGAATAAAAATAAAATATATCTAAGTAGCAAATCCTTAAATGGTGGTCTTCCTCTCCACCACATGCATGCTAATGATATTCAGCCTGGTCTCAGCACACAATGCAGACAGGAAAAATAGGTCATCCACTGAAAACAGGAGTAGAGCCTGGTTATTCCTGCACTTCAATGTGTATCAAGATAGCATGAAAGTGCTCAAATGTAACTGTACTTTCAACAAAAGAATTCAAACTATAAATAGAAACGACAAATGTGAGAGTAAATAATGTAGTGCCATCTAGTGATATCAAAGCTAGGAGACCATGCACTGCTCCACATATCCCACTGACCAATTTACTGCTATTTTAGTCATTTATTTAAAAGAAATTATGAAGTATTATTAAAATCAATCAATCGACTAACACTAATATTGAATTATTTAATAACCTATGACTGTTGGGATATTAATAAATCACAGCATGGGTGTGGTTGCAGCCTGACATGATATTTTCTACCGACAGATTAACCAAATTGAATGAGAAATTAGGAGAAAACTATCAAGGGTTAGTTAATTAAAACGAGAAAGCCTAAATCATACCAATTAGTGCTGGAAAACATGATCCACGTGTCTCAATAACCCACAGCCAAAGCTTTATCAGTATTTGGAATAATTAAGACTCTATTTCAGTCTTTTAGATGATCAAATAATGTATTTTATCGGCTGCGACTGGTTCTTAAATCCTCTTTTTTGGCTGATGTTTGGTTCTGTCAGCTGTCAGTTGGGACACTCCCTGGCCAGCTGCTAGCAATAGCAACCGTTAGCTTCGGATGGCATTCTCACACAAAACGTCTTAGCTCGAGTTAAATGTAACAAGACACACACGTATATCTTTCTAAACATGTATTTAAATGTGTTTTGAAAGTATTTCCCATTCACCAGATGACATGTTAGAGCTAAATCTTACCTGTTTGTGTGAAAAAATCCGGCTAACCGTTCAGCTTCGTCCAGTCCGGGCTACATCCATCCATGGAGGTCTGACCAGACCACCAGACACATCGGAGCTGAGGTGGCCGAGCTGCTGCCTGACTGGCCCGTCTCACTCACAGAGGAGCCCGGGGAGAGTTGTATTACTGGTATTGGACTATAGAGATGTTTAAATGTATTATTGCATTCACTGGTGAATATTTCAAAGATGGGAAGTTGTTATAGACACATAGTACGACTCAATGTCTAGTGCAAATAATTGAGTACATTTATATTGTATTATTACTTTTGAATTGTTGTGAAGCACGTTTTTAAGTTTATTATGATGTTGTTGTTGTTATTAAGGGCCATTCCTCTTTAAATCATGTTTCCCTGAGGAGTTTTTCTTTTGCTGTTATTATGTATTTATATAAACCATTGATATAAACTCGAAAAATTACGAGGTAAGAAAAAAGGGAATTGAGGAGTAGTGAGAGGAAATGCACACATCCAAATATTCAACCCCTAAAAAATGGAAAGTAAAACATTTACAACAAAATAGAGAGCAAGCATAAAAACTAAATCAAAAGTGGAAATGAACGACAATTCAACTAGAACACCTGTGTATGCGCACAGTTGCTGTATGTGAGTGTGTCTGTGGGGCTTTTGACAAATGTCCCTTCGATCCATAAATATCTGATTTGTCCATGGCCTGTGGTCATAGCAAACTTTCTCTGGCTCTCACAAAGAAAATACTTGTTCTTCCTGTTTGGCTGAACAGGTGCTTCACTCACTTTATAACTCTAGCAACACACATGTGGTGAAGGAAAATGAAAATGTTAAGCTGCATGGCAGCTGGGAAATAGTTCCCTGATCACACTCCTATTCTTGGTAAAAAATATACATTGCACATGCATATAAAATACTATGCCAGAGAGCAATGCTGTTGAACTAAAGTACATGAAGTATAAATACTGCTATGCTTCCTCCAGCTAAATGTTAATGGTTGATGTGAAAATAATGTAAAGTATGCTAAAATATTAAAGTCCTAAAGCCACACATGGGGCTTAAAATGTATTTCAATGCTCATTTATCTGAAACCCCTCAGTGTTCACAGATTAACAAACACCTGATTTATATTGCAATTAAAGGTGGGGTAGGTAATTTTGGAGAAACCAGCTCGAGTGCGCTAGAATTTGAAAATACACAGCCGAAAAAAATCTGCCACTTCCTTACAGAGCCCCTCCTCCAACACACACGAACGCGCACATGACCAATGAGGGCAAGAGATAAATTTGTGCACAGATTGAAGGCTGACAGTCAGGTAGGCCATCCAGTTATTTTAGCCGGGCCGGCTCAGATGATTGGTCGTGCTTTCTACAGCGCTACGGCTTCCACAGATGACATTTTTTNGTTCAGGAAGGACAATGGGTAGGAACCGGCAGTGGGACCAGGACCGACCCCGGGCCGTCAACCAGCCAGATGTACAAGTTATTTATGTAGCTTGTGGAGTGAGTCAATTCCTGGAGTTATTGTAGTCGCTTTTGGATGGACTTCGTCATTTCCAGAGCAAAAACCCCCACCGACTTCAGCTACCTCACCACCAGCCGTGCCACCGACGGAAGGACGAGACTCTTACGCGGGACGTACAAACCTCAACTTTGCGTACAGACATGCGGCGTCAGTGGGCGTCCTACCCGTAGCGATTCCGAGACACAGCCGTTCAGACGACTTAAATGAGCACTCGTGCTCAAAACGTCGGCAAAACGACAAGTGGACAGACACCACGTCTGTCTGCGAGTCTTTCGACATACTTCCTGTACCCGATGTTCTTCTTGCCTCTAACATAAGCGACTCGAACGACGTTTCCTACCCTTGAAGTGGAGACTAATAAGGACTCGAACGACGTGTCTTAGTAGTCTCACTTGATTTAAGTAAGATGAGTACAGAACTACTAGGCACGGAATAGGTCCACCGGGGCATGAAGTAGTTCGATAGAACCGGCAATGTCTGGACAGTCTAAAATGTCTTCTCTCCACCTTCGCATATACCGAGAGACAACTTAAGTTAATCTGTGACTTCTAGAATCCCTAGTCCATGGACGCATAGGTTCAGTTATGGTCTGTAAAATCTGTAAGTAAACCGACTGTCTCTTCTACTGACTCAACGCCAACATCTAAAGTCAACATATCGTCGGACCAACCTTTGTATAGCTGGAGTAGCCTACCAAGAGGGAAAGCGACAACGGGGGTTTCGGCGGCACGAGGACAATAGAATGTTTGTCTGCACAATTGGCAATGTACAGGCTTCAACGAGGTATCTTCGGAACCAGCATTTCCTGGATTGTCTAGTAACTAAGCCAAAGAGGCAGATCAACAATCTTAATGCTCATATGGAACACCAACTTGACTTCGACTTCCTACCAACCCTTGATGTTCCTTATACGCCCGGCTTACGCCGCGCTCGCCGCGTAATATACATGAGGGCGCAGAACAGGCACATGAGCACCATTTGGGTCGGTGGCTGTTTCAACATGTGCATGAAGGAGGAGGGCACGTGCTCGCTCATCCCCATGATGAAGGTGTCCCTCACTGCCTCCGAGTCCTCGTCCCGATACTTCCGGATCTGAAAACTGGCCATGGCTCAGCCCTGATTTATAACAACAGGAAATCAAAATGTCAGAGGTTACAAAATATTGACTAGATAAATCAATCGCGGTAATACATTTGCTTTGTTTCTTTTCAGTATCACATTGTGCTGAAGCCTGCCTTTTCTACAGGGAAGCAATGCATAATGCAGATATTTACAATTACTTCTCGAGTATAAAATATCAAACATGGACCAATAAGGAATAAACCCCACCTTTACCAAGTGCAAGATTGAAGTGTTGAACGTTAATCAATAACTATCATATAATAATTTAAGCTATTCTGCAGAAAGAGTACTTCAAGTATAATTTGATGCAAATACCTTTTTAATTTGGCTTAAGTACCACTTTGAATACAGAACTTTTACTTGTAATTAAGTATTTTTTTTACACTGTAGTATTGGTCATTGTACTTAAATTCATAATAACTCTTTGATCTCTGCATCTAGTCAAAGTGGAGTGTGGGATTTGAGTTTATTATCCATTTAACAAATTAATGAATCAATCCAAATGAATAATGATCAATGCAGAAGTGAAATGTAAACACAGTGTCAATGACGCTCAAATGTCACGTGAGTCAGTTTATAACGGTTTAAACGAAAAGACAGGTATATTTGCAAACAACTGTAACACATAGGCATTCAATATGCATGTCAAAAAAAATAATAAAACCATACGTACCGTTCAACGTAAAGACTTTCATTCCTCTGATTAGCTAACAGCAGCTAGCATCGGGGCTAGCATCACAGATTTTATTGGATTGAATTTAATTTGCTGTCGATTAAATAAACGGGGTTATTAAACAAGACTCACCGTGTTTATTTTTTATTATTGTTGAAGTCAGGGTTAGTGGATTGGGTGAAGAGAACAGAAAAGTTTCAGGAAGTCGTCTCATGCGTCTCCTACTTCCCCAACAAGGATATGCTGCATTCACTGTACAGCAGCAACATGGGAAAATCCACATCCCGTCATCCTAGTATGAGATTCTCGTTTTCTTAAACATCCATTTTGCCATATCATTGTTAATACTACTATCATCTCCAAACACAAATCCGTCAAACATACACACCGACATTAAATCTGGGGTGAAGTCATTTTCCTACCGGGCTGCATATAATTTAAAAAAGGATAAAGATAAAAAAGAGCTCTTGGGTGTCACTTGAAAGCATCTTGTATCACTGCTATTGCCCGAATTCTTATTATCTGATATGCCCTGTGGTCACTACAAACTTCCTCTAGCTCTCACAAAGAAAATACTGTTTGGCTGAACATGTGCTTCACTCTCTTCTGTATGCCTCCAGCATCACAAATGGGATGAAGGAAAATAAAAAGTTAAGCTGCAGAAATTTGTTTCAAAGGGAAAAACTGGGAAATAGTTTCCTGATCACATTCATATTCCTGGTTTAAAGTACACAAGCACACATACATGCTTATACAATACTATGTCAGAGCAATGCTGTTGAACTGAAGTACACACAGTTCAACTACTGCAATACAACATGCTCCCTACAGTTATGTTGTTGATATGATAAGAATGGGAAGTATGCTAAAGTATTAAAATCCTAAAACCATACCTACAGCTTAACTCATTTATTTCAGCGCTCATATATGTGAAGCACCTTAGTGTCCACAGATTTACAAACACCTAATTTCTATTGCAAATATATCGGATAACAATAACACAGTGGTTTGAGCAAGAAAATATGTTAGCTCGAGAAATAGTTTCGGAACAAATAGAACCGCTAACAGTAACACAAAATACATTTAAACAAATGCTACAAATTGTAGAATTATGTTTATTGATCAGTTTATTGTAAATATCATGTAGAAAGGAAATCATTTACACAATTAAATAATAAAATGACATTCAAGTAGCTTAATCAACACAAAACATCATCATCACGAACATTCAGTCAACTATTAAAAAGAAAGGATTAATGATCAATCTGTCCCGTGTGTGTTTGTAACAAAACTTGATCTGACAAATAAAGTAGTATCGTATCGTAAAAGAAAACATGGCTAACCTTTGCTACGCGTGTGTGGGGTAAACAGTTCCTTATGTAGATACTGTTATCCGTGTTTTGTAGACCTAAAGGGATAGCTTGGTTTAGTGCCAGCCTGGTGTACTGCTGTGATCGGGGGCATCAGAAAAAGGTAATTGAGCCACTTAAATTATCAATATCAGTTTAAAGGAATGTTATATTTTTTATATTTTCATGCCCTATCATGCTCTCAGGCATTTATTTTTGACTCCATTTGCAAAAACTGAAATTGAACTGTTTCATTGGAAATGAAGTCTGGTGGCTTTGGCGATGCATACATTGATTTAACGTCTTCAGTTCCAGACCAAAAGGGCTATACTGTACTTCCTACAACCCAACTTCGAACAATCGGGACTATCCCTTTAGAGGCGATGCATACCGTCAAAATGTAAGTATAGAAACTGCAGAAATGAATGGTTCCTTAGGGTTTCAGCTAAATAACGACTCATTCACTTTTCCCCTCTCTCTGTAAATCCAGTCTGTACTCTATTAGAGTGAAGTTCATGATTTTGCCAGCAAGCTCAGGAATAACAAACTCTCGTATCTTCTTGTAGCCCATGTCCTCATACAGCTTCTGAGCGTCTGTAGCCACCACAGAGGTGACCAGCAAAACGGCTGCAAAACCTCGTTCACGAGTAAATTCAGCGACTGTCCGACACAGAGCCTTAGCGATGCCCATCCTGCGGTAAGTGCGGCGCACAGACATGCGTTTCAACTCCAAACACGCAGGCGCATTCTCAGCAGGAAGGCAAGCCACCATGCCGACCACCACTCCATCGACTTCAGCCACCCAAAAACACGAGTCCTTCTGCTTCAGGTAGGTCTCGTTGATGTTATTCAGGTCATTACTGAGTGAGGTGTCGATTTTGTCTGTTGAACACGTAGACGACAAAACTGCCGGGCCCCCAGCCAGGACCAGGGTGACGGCCAGGATGGGTAAGCAGGAAGGACTTGGAACTGGTGATGAGGGCGCAGAAGCAGGGCACATCAGCACGCATCTGTCGGTGGCTGTTTCAGACATGTGCATGAAGGAGGAGGGCCAGCCGTGCTCGGCTCATCCCCATGGTGAGGTGTCCCTCAGCTGCCTCAGAGTCTTTCGTCCCGATACTATACGGATCTGAATATTCGCGCATGCTCAGCCCTGATTTGAAAACAAGTCCAGGTTAAAATGGAACGAGGTTGAAAATTATGACAAATGACAAGAAAAAGTCTGTTTTGCAATCATATATTTAAATCAATAATCACTTGGGCTTCTTTTTAAAGAACGCAAACATGACGGGTGTAGAATATAAACAAAAGACCCCTAAAAATTGTAGATTAAATCCTCGTCCTTTGCGTTTCTTTATTGACGCTTGACTACCTTGAGATTATTGTTTGCAGATATTCACCCATCGCAATCCTATGTTGATTAATCAAAAAATGTTGTTTACGCCCCAGACGCCCAACAACCCTTTAGGAATTTGGTTATTGTATTAACAATTCCAACCCATCGGAACAAAATTCCATTCATACGTAAAAAGTCTGCCAAATTTTACAATGGTTAACTCCCAGCTAAATTTAAGGAAGGTTTAAATGTTATTTCCCCTTGTTATGCCAAATTCAGTCCCATGGAGCTTTGGGTTTTTATATTACAGAAAATTACATTTTTTTAAGTACCATGAAATAGGTTTGAAAAACCCAAAGGGTGTGGGATTTCCACCTTTGGACCACTCAGATGGTGAAACTTTAACCTTTTCATATCCGGGGTCTCCACCACCATGAGGATGGGCCCGATGTTGTGCCCAAGACAAATTAATGAAAAAGGTTTATTTCCAATTTAACTTCCTAAAGGTCAAAAGGTATTTTAGAACCAGAAACATAAGGATCATTGGGGTTCAGGGATTGGCGAGATTTAGAAAATACTAATTTGACCTGGAAGTGAAAATCAAGATGTTTCTTGAAACCTTGGGACTTCCTGGTGTTTAAAATAGTCTCCTATCTGTGTTTTTTTAATTTTAGTTTTTACTTTTTTTAATGTATACACCACCGAACAAGTTCAAATTCCTCATAGTGGTCAACTAACTTTGATTTTCCGCTTTGTGATTGAGAGGGTGGGTTATTTGGGATCTGGAGGAGGACATTGAAATCCCCTTTCACCTGATTTGGGTTGGTAGTACCAATTAATACTGTTTGGTTTTTACTGATTTAAAGTTAACATTTTCCCGTGGGGTTTATCCCCAGGTACTGTTTACTCACCTACTTATTTTTTCCTGAATACTTCAGGTTGGTTCCTTTAAAGTTTGAAAAATGTTGTGTTTGGTGCGGTGATCAATATAATTATTTTTAAAGAGTCCATTATGCGTGCCTATTGATTTTGAAACCGACGATCCGTGGTTATCCCATCCATTTTCCTTGGGATCCTCTCTAAAAGAAAAAAGAAGGGGACCAAATGGAAATTTGTTGTCATGGCCCGGTTGTTCAGCATGGAACATCATTAGCCTAACAATGGACAATTATGTCCCTGTGGTTAATAAATAAGGGAGGGCAGGTACTTTTAAAAACAGCCTGCTAGTTTATGGGGGGTTACTTTTTTATGAAGTTACATTTCAAGAGACCATACTCTTTAATTTTAACCTTGAGTAGAAAGTCTAGTTCAGTACTTTTTCTTTTACTTTTCCACCAGAGTAATTTTTAACCACGACAGTTTGTGTTTTGTACTTTGAAGTTTAAAGGAATGTTGGTTTTGAGGGTACCTTGAAAGGCGTTTTGCTGCGACCCGAGTCCCGCGTCCCTGCAAGACCACCATGGCCTCCATTCGTGCCCCCAGCCCTCGCTGGCCACCCACCGTGCCCCCAGAACCAGGGACCCGTTCCTCTTCCTCCAGACCTCCACCCGGCCCCTCCGGAAGGGGTTTTTCTGCCCCCCCCGCTGAGAAGACGCCCAGCTGGGGAAAGAAAACCACACAAAGGTTCCTTATTTATACTGTTTTTTTAGGCAAAAATTTATGGTCCTCAGATTTATTACAAAAATATATTAAAAAACTGTCTAAATGAGTTTGCCCTCAAAAATAAACCAAAGACAGATTCATGCCCATTTTCTAGCCCCTCAAAACCCTCTTATTTTGGTTTGCATTGTTGTTAAAGTTTTTGTTCTTAATTTTATGTTTTGAGCAAACTCATCAAACTTGTGAGTAACCAACGAATATAATTGAAGAAGAAAACAAAGTTTAAAAAATGTCTGTTTTAAGGCGTCTCTGTGGCTTGATTAGAAAGAAAAAGAAAAAGGAAAGCCCACAATAGTCCCTTTTTAAACTTGCGCTGCCAGTTGTTTGGTACTCTTTATAAAGCCCACTATTCCTTGCTACAGTATGTTTTTCCATTGAGCCTTCTCAAACTTCACACTGTGAAATGTATATACTTTTTAAATGTGAACCATCAGAAGGTTTGGTGCAACCGGTCCGCCATTTTGGGTCAGTGGTTTGCATGAAAGTGATGATATTTGTGTAGTTATTTTCAATGTTTATTTTGTTTGTATAATGTAACAGTGTTTATGCCAGTGGCGTACCATGGCGGCTTTAGACCAGGCCTTTCAGTCAACATGAAAAAAGCACATTACAGTTACACAACTTTTACAACGTCTTTTCTTGTTCCAAGCCAACCGCAGCAATGAATCAGATTGGATGCGCCCTTATGCCAACAGCCTCCCCCAACAATTCGAACAGCTGATCAACCAATCACAAACAGCCCTTGTCCAGACAATTCACAAACGCCTGGTTTCAACTAATTCAACAACAGCTGTCTCAAACAATTCCAACCAGCTTTGGTCCAACAATCACAAACAGCTTTTGGATTTCAACAATCCAACCGAACCGAGCCTTTTGTCAAACAATCACAAAAACAAGCCTGAATCACAATTCACACAGGTCAGTAGAATAGGTTTTAAAACAAATTGCAAGACCGACATGTTCCAAACATTGAATCAATGAAGTNATGGATTTTTTGTCAAAGCACTTCAGATATTCATTGCTATCGGGATGTTAAGAGCATTCCATGGAACATAACAAAAAGTGTATCTCGAGCCGGTTTCTCAAACTTACCTACCCCACCTTTAAAACATTTAACAATAACACAACAATTCAGGCAAAATGTGTGAGCCTGAATAAGTCCAGGAGGATATGGCATCCCTAATAGTAATACAAAAAAACAAAAGAAACAAATGATACACATTGTACTGAAAGTATGTTTAACCATTAGTTTATTCTATAAGTGTCATGTAAAAGGAAATCATTTAGAAAATTAAATAATACAATTACTTTCAAGTAGCTTATTCAACATACTAACATGTTATTAACCTGTGTAGAGTAAACTGTTCTTTATGTGGATACTGTTGCCTGTGGTTTATCGACCTAAAGGAATAGTTTGGTGCCAGCCTGGTTTCCAAGCCATTAAGTTGAAATATTTGTTTTGCTTGATTTAAAATATTCCCATTGCTTTATCATGCTTTTAGACGGAGAACCGAATCAGTGATCTGGAGTCTTTCAACCAGGCTCTATTGACAACAACTGAAATGTAACAGTAACATTTCTGTTTTTTAAATAAAGTCTGGTGGCTTTGGGAAAAGCATACAATGATACAACATCTTCAGTTACAAGTTCAAAAGGGCTATACTGTACTTCCTACAACCCAACTTTAAACGATCATGACTGTCCCTTTACGGCCAATGAATGCTGGCAAAATGTAAGTATTGCAACTGGATAAATGGACGGTTCCTTAACCCTAAAATGTTATAGTCTTTGTGTCTAATTGAATTAACAACTCATTCACTTTTCCCCTCTCTCTGTAAATCCAGTCTGTACTCCATCAGAGTAAAGTTCATGATTTTTGCAGCAAGCTCAGGAATAACAAACTCTCGTATCTTCTTGTAGCCCATGTCCTCATACAGCTTCTGAGCGTCTGTCTGCACCACAGAGGTGAACAGCAAAACGGCTGCAAAACCTCGTTCACGAGTAAATTCAGCAAACTGTCCGACACAGGAGCCTTAGCGATGCCCATCCTGCGGTGACTGCGGCGTACACGACATGCGTTCACTCCAAACATGCAGGCGCATTCTCAGCAGAGAGGCAAGCCGCACCGTGCCGACCACACTCCATCGACTTCAGCCACCAAAAACACGAGACCTTCCTTGCTTCAGGTAGGTTTCGCTGATGTTATTGAGTCCCTTTTCTCGAGAGTGCAGATAAAGGATACTGATTCTATGTTAGATTGTATTTAATCTAAAAGTTTGAAATAGAGTCTAAAATGATTGAAAATTACTAGCGAGTAAACTTTGGCTGTGGCGCTCAATAGTGAGCCTTCGCTCCGCTGGAGCCATGAGTTCCGCAGCACTTAATTGGTATTGATTTTAGGCTTCTCGTTTTAATTAACTAACCCTTGATAGTTTTCTTCCTATTTTCTCATTCAATTTGGTTAATCTGTCGGTTAGGAGAAAATATCATGTCAGGCTGCAACAACACGGCCCATGCTGTGAGTTTGATTAATATCCCAAACTAGTCATAGGTTTATTTAAATAATTCAATATTAGTGTTAGTCGATTGATTGATTTTAGATAGTAACAATGACGTTCAATAATAGTGCATTCTTAGATAAAGACTAACTAAGAGATTGAAGACTCGAAGTAAGTGGTCGCATCGGATAGGTGGAGCGAAGATGCAATGGTCTCCGTTAGCCTCATGTATGGCAACTCATTATTGCCGAGTTCATTATTTTACTCTCACGATGTGTTTCGCTGTTTTCAACATGTGCTATTTATAGTTTGGAATCCTTGATATAGAAGAGAGGGATGTACAGTGGGCATTTTGAGCACGTGCATGCTCTATGCTCATCTCTCGCGATACACATTGATTGAGTGCATGAAAGGAACCATGATTCCTCTTCCCTCTGCTCGCTTTTTGCCCTCGCGTCCGAAGATCTGCGTACGCTCCCTATCTTTTCCTGTCTGCATTGTGTGTGAAATCACCGGCTGAATATCATTAGCATAGAGATTTTGTGTGCCTCGGAGAGATCAGTAGAGACCAACACATTTTAGAGGGACCTTTCATGGCCTCTTCGAGCTCTATCTTTATTTTACATGATTCTCATAAGGCATTATGATTATTCCATCGAATGATCGAGTGAAAGATACCTCCACATAGAAAAAAGATAATAAAAATTAGTCATTGAGAGATGTGTCACATATATTTTATATTTATATTTATAATGCAACACAATAGCATGACCACTGATACTGAAAACATTCCCTGCTCCTTCAGAGCCCTGACACAGCAGTTTGCATTTCAGCCCACGAATCAACTTAACAAATTAACTTACCCAAACTTCATATATCCTCTAAATAAGCCTTCTTGGACACAGCTTCCAGGGCGGTTCCACTTGCTCTTCTTTACTTTTTTTAGTGACGTCCATTTGTTTCCTGACTGGACCTGCAGAGGTTCAGTTTGGGTCGTAGACGCTCCTCCTAAAATCACGCAAACCTTCCTGCTGCGCTCTGAGATAAAAAATCACAGCATTACAAGTCTGTGTCTGTTGTGAGTACTTTGTGATATGTACTTTTCTTTCTCGTATTCTTAGGTGTTATTGGCTGTCACATTGTGCTGAAGCCTGCCTTTTTTCCCTGACAGCGTGAGATTGCTCTGCCCATATTATATTCGCTTCACGTATGTGGAAGATGTAAGAGGCTCCCCCTACTATCCCTTCTCTTACCTAATCCACAATTTCAGAACTCTCTCCGCTCCCTCTACTGTAATATAACTATCTGGACAACAGAGGTGCTGAAAGACTGCACCGCGATTGAGTGTTATGTGATCACCTAACTCTCCTCCAACATGTCGCTCACTCCACTCTCCTAAGTTTTACCTATATAAGCGTGTCATAGATTGAAGTATGTAGTCTGTAACCGTTATAGTCAAATTCTTTCAATACTATCTAAATATGACACGTTTAGAGACTTTTCATTATATGCATGCTGAAGCTCACAACAAATAACTGTATACTAATTAAATTAGCTGTTCCTCATTAGATATATTATAGGTAATGACTTGTCGATAAGTTGATTTAAATAGTCATTTTGCATTAAAACCACAAGACAAGATTTACTGCTATTAGATTTTCAAGTGTTTTCTAGGTAAACTGCAGCCCTAAGGTTGACATGTTGTTACCCTGATGATCTATGTTTTGTTGCTAAGCTTTCTGAGCATTATTTGGAATATCTTCCCCTCCTCAAGGCTGTGCTTCTTTTATCCTGATTCTGAATGGCAGACTTTATCCAACATCTATTATTAGCGTGCAGGTTGAAGGCTTTACACAGAAACCCCTGCAGAGTTTGAGCTTCATTGCAGAAAGATGGGCAGCACAGATAAAGAGAGTTTAAAAAAAGTCCAGCCATGCGTTCACTGATAAAAGCTGATAAAGGAGACGTTAATCCGTCAGGCGAGCCTAATGCTTACATGTGTGCCGCATAACAGAGCATCACCCTGGGCCCTTTGTGTGCAGCCACCAATGACACGGCCTCAGATTGAATTGAACTGGGTCACCCCCCACCCCCGGGTTCAAAAACGCTTACCGTCTGTGTTTTTTTTTTAATTCTCGCCCCCTTTCCTTTCCCCCAGATTTGAGTGCATAAGTAAGTGTTTCTGTAGAGAACTGCAGTGTTAGGGAACATCTGGTATCTTTAAATATATTTCTTTGCTGCTTCTTGAAGGAGTGTTTTTTGTTTGCCCCAAAAACCGTAGTGATTATAGAAATTTATCATTTTGGTACTTATTGAATTCAACAAAGAACAACTTAAGTCATGCATGGGACTATTAAATAAATACTAATACAGAAAGACTTTAATATTTGCTGTCTGAGGTATTTTTGTGTCCCTAAACAAACCCTCAACTGTACACAACTTTTTAAAATCTGAGTCTGTATTTTTTATATATAAGTATATTTCCAGAGTAATACGCACGTTTTGACATGCTCCCAATCCGTATGGTCCCTAATGGTTGTCCCCACCAACAACAATATTTGTTGATGATATTTTTCATCTGACGGGGATCATAATAATAGTGATTATCATGCATTTTGTAGGTTTCATGATTTGCCATCAGGAATTTAACTGCGGCTCTGATTCATCCACAGACTGTTTAATATGTTGTAGCAATGACAAAATGTAGTACTTCAAGGTTATAAGTTTGATGCAAATGACTTGNAACTGCCGGGCCCCAGCCAGGACCAGGGTGACGGCCAGGATGGGTAACAGGAAGGACTTGGAGCTGGTGATGAGGGCGCAGAACAGGCACATGAGCACCATTTGGGTCGGTGGCTGTTTCAGCATGTGCATGAAGGAGGAGGGCACGTGCTCGCTCATCCCCATGGTGTAGGTGTCCCTCACTGCCTCAGAGTCTTCGTCCCGATACTTACGGATCTGAATATTCGCCATGGCTCAGCCCTGATTCTGAAAACAAGTCCAGGTTAAAATGGGAGAGGTTGAAAATATGACAAATGACAAGAAAAGTCTGTTTTGCAATCATATATTTAATCAATACATCACTTGGGCCTTCTTTTTTAAAGAAAGCAAGACATGACGGGTGAGAATATAAAAAAGTCTAAATTGTAGATTAAATCTCGTCTTTGCGTTTACTTTTTTTGATTTGTACCTTGGACTACTTGAGATTATTGGTTTTGCAGATATTCCCCATCGCAATCCTATGTTGATTAATCAAAAATGTGTTACGCCCAGAAAAAGAAATACTAGCACTTGAAAATCAGCCCAGCCCACACCTTTTATCCATCATGTTGTTTACTGTAATCCTCTCAAGAAGGTCAGTCTTTGTCAGAGATAATACAAGCGTTTGTTGTTTGTTATGTGTTGGAGGCGTGTGGTGCAGTGGGTTGTGCGTTGCTGTTCGGATCAGGGGAGCACAGGTTCAAACCCCACTGCAGTTAGCATGTCGTTGTGTCCTTGGGCAAGACACTTCACCCCAAATTGCTCCTGTGGGGATTGCCCACAGTATTGAGTATGTAAGTCGCTTTGGATAAAAGTGTCTAACAAGTAACATGTAATGTCATGTAATGTTGTGTTCTTTCTCATCTGATCACAAAGATGTACCTAAAACATTTCTACAATTATTCTGTCCGGCAGTGGCTCAGTCAGTAGGGGCTTGGACTGTGAGCCGTAGGGTCACCAGTTCAAGTCCCCGACCAGACCTACTATATGGAGTGTGGACTGCTACTTGGAGAGGTCCCAGTTCACCTCCTGGGCCCTGCCGTGGTGCCCTTGAGCAACGCTCCCTCCCTCACTCACTCCCATTGCTCCCCGGGCGCTGTACAATAGCTGCCCACTGTTCCTAGTACTAGACTCCTGGTACTAGGATGGGTTAAATGCAGAGAACAAATGTCACTGTGTGTGCTGTGTGCTCTGCATGTGTGACCATTAAAGAGGGTTTCATCCCTCCCAATTATATTCTAATAGACAAGTAAAAGTAGTCATTATGCAGATAGGCCCATTTCGGAATAATATAGATTATATGTTTTGATTATAATTATTGATGCGTTATGTGTTTATTATAGCTGGTAAAGGTGCAGCTAGTTGGAATGACTTTGTATACTGCAGGGTAGCTTGTGAATTTATTCCAGGTGCTACTAAAGTCCATTTTACGTGTTGTTTGTATTTCAAAGTACACTACTTGAGTAAATCTATTTAGTTACTTACACCACTTTTATTTAGTACAACACATTACGCAATTTTGAATGCAAGACATTTACTCTAAATGCAGTGTAACATGTGTGCTTATTTTGCTTTTAACAAGCTCAATAATCAGAGTGAATAATAATCTCAAATGTCACGTGAGTCATAACGGTTTTAACGAAAAGCCAAACAGCTTTAACACGTAGGCATTCATTCAGCATCTTCATTAACTATAATGTTAATGAAGATGCTGAATGCCTACGTGGATCGGATCAAATAAACTTTAAAAACCTTAACCATAACCCTTTCAAACACTTTACATCCTCTGATAAGCTAACAGCAGCTAGCATCATGTAGCTTCACAGAGCTACCACGGATTTGATATGACTTCATTTCATTTATCCCGATACAAATAAACGGGGTAATTAAACATGACTCACCGTGTTTATTGTAATCCTTGTTGAAGGCGGGGTTAGCGGTGGATTGTGAGAACAAATCAGAAAAGTTTCCAGAAGTCAATCGCGTCTCTTTTCATTTGTCTCCTACTTCCCCAACTACGATATGCTGCATTCACTGTATAGCAGCAGAATGGGAAAATCAACACCCCGTAATCCTAGTATGGGATTCTCGTTTTCTTCTCTATTTTTCCATATACATGTTGGAACTACTATCACTATCATATAGACATATTTCAAATATCCAAAGCGGGATTACATGTAGGATAAATAGTTATTTTCTACCGGGTGGCTCATCATTTTCCAATTTAATGTGGATAAATACGAGCTCTGCGGTGTCACATGAACGCAGCTTGTACCACTTCCTTTCCTGTGGATTGGCCGCCGCTTGCAGACCAGCTGATTGTATCATTTAGTTTTTATAAAAGAGATGTAAATATAATTACAAAACGTTACCGAATCCCAGCCATTTATGGTGTGACTTTAAATAATTGATTGACACTGGTGCTATGTTTGCCTTACTATATTTAAGGATCATACTGTGTTGTTGCCATTAAATAAATAGGAACGTATTTATTGTATTTAACTAAAGAAACTCTTGCTAAAAGAGATGGCTAATGACTATCCACAACAGTGTTTCTCAACTGGTCACAAGGATGAATATTTTTCAACATTTTCTGCAAGTTATTTTCTGAACTGATCAAATAATTAGCCTTACAAATAATTAGCAGAGAAATAAAACATTAGTTGCAGGTCCACCTAAACCCACACAATATTTAAAAGTAAATATAAGTAAGATTAAGTTGCTATTATTACAACATTACATGGGTTTCATACATAACAATGTAAAGGTAAAAATGTTTACATAATACATAGAGTGGGGTAACATAGTTCAAATGTTTTAACTAACTTTTGTATTTGTGGCGTTTCATGTTAGATATTATTGCAGTTATCAAAGAGCCACTGAGAGAAACTGTCAAAGCAATACAACCCTGAAGGCGGACACATTTATTTTCATTTAAAATAAATTACATGAAAAGGCAACCTTTGATGTAGAGCAACCAGGTTTTAATACTTGGAGCCTATGGAAACATATAGGAGATTTTTTTGACGTAGAAATACTAACTTTATTTTAAAATCTTACAGGAAAAAGAACCAATGAAGGTCATAGAGGTCACACAACTCGGAGGTCAAACACTACGGCAATGAGAAACAATAAACACAATTATTGTACACCATATGAAGACTGAAAAAATAATTTATTGTCTCCTCAAAAATACACAATTTGACTAGAGTTCATACATAATGATTGTACAGATTTCCCTTTTGATGGAGCTAAACGTTCAACTTACTTGATAGTCAAAAGGTATAAAAGCTTTTTCCATTTTGGTTTTGTTCGTACAAAACATTTACATTCACTTTCCCGCCCAGCCGAGTGAGCAGAAATAGAAGCAGCTCATTATTTATTGAATTTCTCTTTCCAGTTTTTGTTCCTTAGTCTCTCTCTAGCCCAGGTTGATTTCCCCTGCGTACATGGTGATGAGCAGGATGATGGTGAAGCCGCTCAGCAGCCCCACGTTCTGGATGATGAAGAAGATGATCTTGTTGTAAGTCCCCTTCTGTTCCAGTGAAATTTTCTCCATCTCCGGAAACTGAGGCGAAAAAACGAAATCAGATATCAGAAATGACCATACCCTTATTGATCATATAATGGGAGGTAATAATATACAAACAAGAAGTGGGATTTGTGTGCCTAGAATTATTAATTTGTTGACATGAATAAAAGGGGAAAGAAACCTGGATGCTTTTAACATCTGATATATCTATCACAGTGTGAGGACAAAACTGGTTTAACCTGTTAAGCCCTGAGCCTGTTTTCCAGGCCTCAGGCTCGAAAATGACATTCCCAGAACAAAGGACCATAACTTCATTTCTAAAAGGATTAAATTAATAATCTTTTTTCTCAAAGCAATGATAAACCTGTGAGTTGGATGTAGAAGAGTCAGAATCAATATAGATTTTTTTTTATTTTAAAGTAAATTCAGATTGAACATGTCAATTATTGTGTAAAAAAGAAAAAAACATTACTTATAGTGAAAACCACCCTTGAATGATGGGATAGTAGACTAAAAGCTTTAGGAATCCAAACTATAACATATAATAAGTACCCTGTATTAAGATTGATGCAAAACAAGTGAAATTTGACCTTTTTAGAGAGATTTAGCAACAAAAAAAGCACTTCTGAGGTCATTTGGGTGGATTTGACCTATCTCTGGCCCCCCTTGGTCGATTTTGATGATTGACATCTCTTTCTAACCGCTAGAGCCAATAGAGGGGTCTTTGGGGCTTAACAGGTTACAAATTGCAGGTTCGGCCTACAACAAGAGGTCATGTTTTTATGACATTTGTCTTATTTTCAACAAATCCAATCAAAAGACACTAAGAATACATTTATCCTACTAAGAGTTATTCCTCTGTGTTCACTGTTACCGGAAAAATAACTCTGATGGTGTCAAGCTACTTAACAAGTTAAGAACAAGTATATTTTTACAATTTATTTTATATGAATACATTTTTTAAATCTGTTTTTATTATTTTTAAGAACAGTCAAACTGAACATTACTGAGCCTTTTTCTTGGCCACTTGGGGTCAGCATAACAAACTGTAAACACAACATTGATTTATAGGCCTATTTTATTGCCCTGGAAAGATGAAATCACATTGGCCAGACACTATGATAGAAAGTCCAATATTTCTGCTGATATTTCCACAAAACTATAACACAAAAGTCACTAAAACACTGTGTTAAGCTCAGAGAGAGACTGCCAATGAAGCAGCACATTTGACATGCATGCATTTGATACATGGTTAATATCAGAAAATATCAACTATAGATGCTTAAAATATCTAGTAAGGATGGAAGGGCATTGGGTAGCACATAGAGGGGGGGCGAGATGGACTAATAGACTGTTCGTTTTGACTTTAAATGTGACCTGTTGACAAAAACAGGCATATAAAGTAGCTCTAAATAACACCATAAAAAAATGTGTATGTATAAAAATGCAAAAACCGAGCTGCAGTCTGCAGGTGTGGAGTGACCTCAGGTGGGATCATGTGACTCACCATGTCTGCCAGAGCAATGTACAGAAACATTCCTCCCGCGATGGCAAAGATTGCATTGGGGGCAAAGTTGCTCCCGAGCAGGATGCCGAACGCCAGCCCGATGTAACACGACACCGCAGACAGCATGTTGAAGAAAATGGCCTGTGGGACGGTCATGCCAGCGTTCAGCAGGATCACAAAGTCACCTGCAGACGGAACAAAACACAGGGTTGTTATGGACATTTCTGCACAACACAAACACATTTGAACTGATAACACTTTTGATTCAGATAATCTCTACATATTTCTTCACCACCTTAATGCATCCAGTTTTCTCATCTCTTGAAATCACGCAATGCAATACAATAGTGTTTGATTTGTAGTCTTGTCCAGTTTATTTACATTAAAAGGGGAGGAATTTCAGACATAAATCAGACGGTTTTGTAATACATTGGTTACAATAATGAAAGTTGTATTGGATTACATTTCTATTTTTAGTTTATTAAATGTTTGAAGTTGAAACACATCATGGAAGAGTTTTGGTGCAATGCTGCATTGTGTCAGTAGAGGTCGATAAAGATCATACATTCACAGTCCTTTTCGTTTGTGTGAAAAGACATAATCTGCTTTTAATCCGCTGAAATCCAGTTTTCCTGTTAAGTTTTACTGTTGTTTGTTTGATAACACCCTGTTTCACAGAATGATTTGTTGTAATGAAAACTATTCCAGCTTGCCATTGTGATTAATATGTTAAAACCTGACACTTTTTTAGGGCCATAAAATGTAGCTATATTCTAGATGACATTTTGGACACTTTATCCCCCAAATCCAGCCTTTGTATGGAAGCCCTGAGAGGCATGTCACAGAAAACCTTGAGACTTTCCAAAAAATGGATTACGAGAATTCTATTTTCTCATCCCTTAGAGCAGGGGTGTCCAAACTACGGCCCGGAGGCCAAATGTGGCCCGCGGCCCATTTGGAATCGGCCCTCAGCAAATTCAAAAAGTATAATGGAATATGTGCCACAAATGAAACTTATATTGTACTTCTTCAATATATATGTACAAATATATTACACAGTAGTATTCATGTATATTAATAAGTCCACTTTTCAAATAAATTCAGTCAATTAAAGTTGGAAACATTATGTAAATTGATAACTTATTTGCATAACAAGCTTGAAATAAACCCTTCCTATTCCCCTTATTATAATCAGTCTGAGGCTTCTGTTTTGAGCTGAACACTTTTTGTAGCAAAATAAATGGACAGCTGTGAAGTAGGCTGTTTTTTTCTTAAGTCATTTTTAAGTATCAAGCATCATTGAGCTATATTTGATTGATTTTGCTAACTTATAACTGAACTTATGAGACAATGTACCTCTGAGTGGCCCAGCCCTTCGTATATTTTTCTGTATGTGGCCCTCAGTGAAAAAGGTTTAGACACCCCTGCCTTGGAGCTTCAGTAAGTTTGGGATCTCCACCAGAATTAGACATTTGAGTTCTGTGTTGGAGTAATATTACCCTGGCGTAATATGAACAGGATAACATCCTTACCGAGCTCGTGGGGGAACTCCTCGCACACGATGGCGGTGGACGTACTGAAGCCCGCCAGGATGGACACGGTGAACGAGGCGCCGATAGCCAGGCCATCAATGAAGTTGTGCACCGCGTCGCTCAGAGTGATCATCCACGCCACCGTCTTGATGCTGGAGACACGAGTTCCTCGCAACCAGTAGCACATCACGCCTGATACCTGGACGTCCTGCAAGAGAAATAAATCAGGTTAAAAACACAAGACTATCATTTGAATTTAGAGAAGAAGAGTGACACGCAAACAAATGTCAAATGTAAGGATATTATCAAGTTTGATTTCATGTCCCAACAAAACTCACCGATCTTCCACTGTTATTTTAGAAGGGCTTTTTGTTTTAATCTTATCAACCTGGTTGGTTGTTATTATTATTATTGCTTAGACATCACAGCATTTAGTTAAGTAAGGTTATACATTATGATGACATTATTACAGGTAGGCTTATATTCAAGGACTTACAAGAACCTAAATATGAAAAGCCAATCGTTTCTTTGACATTTAATAACCAAAAAGTTAAAGATCGTTGATCGTAAGTGTGTAAAGTTTATCCTTTTGGCGTGCAACATCTGCACATAACCCTAATAAACAAAAATAACTGTTTATTGAAGTAAAACTCACATGCAGCCTATTCAACAAATCTATGTATGGCAGAATAATGTTGGCGTGCAATGTAGCCTAATGGAGACGTATTTCAAGACACCTTGACATCCTTTAAAGGTGGGGTATGTAAGTTTGAGAAACCGGCTCGAGATACACTTTTTGTTATGTTCCATGGAATGCTCTTAACATCCCGATAGCAATGAATATCTGAAGTGCTTTGACAAAAAATACATTAAAAAAAATCATCTCTGGAAGCCGTAGTACTGTAAAAAGCACGACCAATCATCTGAGCCCGGCTAAAATAACTGGATGGCCTACCTGCCTGTCAGCCTTCCATCTGTGCACAAACTTATCTCTTGCCCTCATTGGTCATGTGCGCGTTTGTGCGTGTTGGAGGAAGGGCTCTGTAAGGAAGTGGCAGATTTCTTCCGGTTGTGTATTTTCAAATTCTAGCGCACTCGAGCTTGAGACTGCCAAGGCACACNTTTTATTTATTGGGTTAATTCAATGTTTTCTCTCTGGCGACCCTCAGGAATGATCTCCACCTATGTTGCAAATGTATTATCTTTTCAATTTACACATGGCATCTATTGCACGTCTGTCCGTCCTGGGAGAGGGATCCCTCCTCTGTTGCTCTCCCTGAGGTTTCTCCCATGTTCCCCTTTAAACTGTGGGGTTTTCTCTGGAAGTTTTTCCTTGTACGATGTGAGGGTCTAAGGACAGAGGGTGTCGTATTGTCATACTGATATTCTGTACAAACTGTGAAGTCCACTGAGACAAATGTAACATTTGTGATATTGGGCTATATAAATAAACATTGATTGATTGATTGATTGATTGATTGATCTCCTGACCCCCAGGTTGAGTACCAATGAGTTAATCATCATGAATGCCAAAAATGTAAATGTGTCCCCCTCTTGGATTCACAAAATGTATCAGATACCAATAAATCACATTACAGGAAACATATTTATAAATGTGCAGCACTTGCTAAGGAACTCTTCGATTACAAATATAATGGCCTCAGTGTTTTTAATGTGAAATCGGAGAATGAGCGGACATAAACAGAGGTTCTGGGTCTTGGTTAAAGATACTCTGTGGCAACAAGACGGTCCTTTTATCAGCCAGCGAGACAAACAAGGAGTCTTTGTGCTCCAGACAGACAATCCCTGCATTTAGCAAGAGGAGAAGGATCTAAAACCTTCGTCCCTCTGTGCCACCAGCACTTCTGTTTGTTTAGGTTTTTGATCCTTCAGAGCCTCCATATGACACGGGAGATTTCAGTGTTAAATATTAACAGCAGTCTAATCGCCCCCTGTCACTGATAACAGCTCGATAAAATACTGCGAGGCTGGAACTAAGACCAAGACTTAGACTAATAAATAGTAGTTATTTTGTGTCTCTGTATTTTCTCTGTAAATCTTTGCCATTTTTTTAAATCTTTGGAGTCATTTGAGTGTCTTATATAGCTGTTCTTTGTCTCTTTGTAGTTGAGTAGTGTGTCTTTGTAGTCACGTTTTCTCTATGTAGACATTGTGTGTCTCTTTGTAATTTAGTCGTACCTCTTTGTGGTCATTTTGAGTCTTTCAGTATTTGCTTTGTGTTTCTTTTTGCCCATTTTGTTCCTCTTTGTACTTTTAGAGTTCATTTTCAACTCTTTCAGTGTCTACTTGTCTCATTGAGGGACCCTTTTGTAGGTGAAGGACAGGGACACCTAATGATAAGATGTGTTAATACCTATGGTTAATACACGTGCTGCATTTATAGTCCATGATTCATTCCTGTCAGGTGTACCTGTGATAGCGGACAGAGTTGGATAGTAAATCTCTATTAATTACCTAAGATAACATGTCAGAAAACACAAGTTTATTATAAGACGTAGCTGCTCATTAGATTAAAGTTTGTTGAGTTTGAGGGTGATAGCCGTGAGGGTTGGTTTACAATGTATGCAGAAAGAATTGATTGAATGCCAAAGAGGTGGGAATTAGGAGAGTAATAACCCCATCTGAACTGCGTGGCCCTTTCAATAAATACAGTAACAGAGGACGGAGTTTGGTAGCCTCCATTGACTTCATTGCAGTCAGTTTTAAAGCAAAATTATCCACGAGATCTCCCCTTCTCCAAACCAAACTGCTGATCTAAACAATTAAAACTCGTAAATAAAGCAGTATAACACTTTAAATCTGTCTTTCTAGTGTACCATGAATGGAGGGGACATGAGCTAAAGGCTAACGATTGCTCAGCTAGTTTCTCTGTCATTCTTAAACCTAAAATCCTTTATCAGATTAAGATATAGAGATACAAATCCACCAAGATCTAAAAAGTGTCAGGTAAAATGTGGCTTAAAATGGAATAAAAAGTACATTTATGAGGGCTTCTTACAGACAGGAGACCAGATTAAAATGAAACATTTCTGGGTTGGGAAACTGTGTTAATAAATCCATAACATAGGTCTAGTTGTTTTTAGATTTTCTCATTAAGAAATGTTAAATGAATCAGAATTTCCCCTATGGGATACACTTCATGTATTCCTTCTTCTTCTTCTTCTTCTTCTACACATTATATGTCTCCTTTAGCTATGAGATGAGGCAGGTGCGTTGTTCTGGTACCTGAGAGGTCGTCACGTTTGTGTTCACAGGCTCAGCGTTCGGGCTGCTCTTGTCGGTGGCGATGGTGTTGACGTTGGTCAGAACAATGCTGTTCTTTTTCTCCGGTAATTCCCCGTTCTGGATCAAGTTTTCTTGAGGAGGATCAGCAGGAGTGAAGTGGCTGTGGCCAGGCTAACAACAAGAGAGACAAAGTAAGTCAGCTGAGGAACAGAGGAAAAACATTAAGTAGGTTTAAAGCAGTGGCGAACCGTCAGGGCCTTCAAGGTATCCAGAGAATACCCTGGAACACTCATATATCGATTTAATTATATAAATAAAATGTATATAAAATGAATAAATGAGAATCGTATCTGTGTTGTTGATCTGTAATACTACAGTGTTACGTTGATTTGTTTGTCCTTCTCAGACCATGCACTACGCATTTCAGTGGTTTTGTGTTAGAAAAGAAAGCAACCAATCAGATCTTGTTCTGGGTCTCTGGGTAGAATATCCTTCAACCAAGGTATTCTANACACACACTCTCAGAGCTACAACACACACACACACACACACACACACACACTCACTCACTCACTCGGGAGTAAATCTGTCCCTGAATGTGCCAAGCAACGGAAGTCTTCTTGTCCCACGACATATACACAGGAGGGGTTTCTCCTTTTTAAATCCTCGTCCCGTCCCAGAGAGTAAAGCCTCGCTTCAGTCAGTCTTACTTCCAGTCCTTATCGTCCTTGTCCTCCTCGCCCGACGACTCGTCGTTGGTGCTGTCCCCCCCCTGCCGCGCCCCGTTCTGCCGGGCGGCGAACGCAGCGGCCGCCTCGCTCGCCGCCCGCTCCTCGGCCTCCTTCTGTCGCAGCGCGGCCGCCTTCTTCTCCTGCTCGGCGTGGCTCTTCATGTGGGCGCTGCGGCTCTTCACCTTGAAGAAAACCCTACAGGAAGACAGGGAAGAGCTTATTGCCGAAGCCCTTCTTACGTATTGCGCAACATTGCAGGTCATCGAGCTGGAGAAGTCGTGGCTCTTTGCTTTCCAGTGTTCATTTCGTCAACGAAAACTATGACGAAAAGATTTCGTCAACAAACTTTTTTTACAAGACTAAGACGAGACGATGACGAGCTAAAAATAGATTCTTGATAACGATAACTATGACGAAATGTATATTTAGTTTTCGTTGACGAGACGGGACTAAGGTGTTAATGGTGGACNGACAAAATCAGCCTGCTTTTTGGAGTTTTGCAAAATCAGTTAAAATCAGCTTAACTGTCTTAATGTAAAATCAGTTGAAAATGCAGTTTTACACAGGAGTATATGAGAGTACTGGCGAAGGAAGGGCGCGGTCTAGAGACCACAGGCGACGTCGTACAGACAATCGGGCGCGGGGCTGGTGTCTTCTGTGTCTCCTACGCGAGAAGACCTCCACTTTCTCGCCCTCATATCTACAATACGTTCAATCTTTGCATTCTACGTAAACTGTCTGTCTACCTTGGTGAGCTTTCCTTTTATAAGGCACGTAAAAACTTACAGGCTAGTAACTACGAAGGATCGGAATGACTAAAATGTGACTAAAACTAATAACCATTTTCGTCTAAAGACTAAATCAAAAACAGCTGCCAAAATTAACACTGTTGTCTTCTCCCCCCCCCCAGAAGAAGGAGCTCCACTCTTGAGTTATAAAGTAACAACATCTCTGCTCTGTCCTTCCACAGGCTGCATCAATGATGAGAGATTTTAAAGCTTGGACATTTAGAATTAATCAATGATCACTGTGAGCGAGCAAGAAGTGTTTCCCCACATTTATAACTGTCAAATCCCCTTTTCAAAACACTGTTTATCAGTTTAATGATTTCTTAGATGGAGAATAATAGTGCCTATTTCAACATTTCTAACGATGCACCAGCATAACATAACAAGGTATTAAGTTGAAACGCTCAAATCCTTTTTTAATTAGATTAATTAATTGTATTCATGCAGTTAACTTGACTTTGATTGTCATTATTATTATTATTATTATAAAGTCAGTTTGCTCTGCACCAAAAGAGGATTCTTTAAAAGCCCGTTTATTTACCTTTGTTTATTTTCTCTCGACGCGTGTCTCTCTTTCAGCTTTATCTTGGACGATCATTTCGTATATAATTATTTTTGGTATCGTCGACAGTGGGATTTTGATATCACCTGACCTTAAGAGTTATTTCCCCTCGTGGTCTCTCTACATAACGAAAGGGTTCACAAAGCTCAGAGTAATCAGCACCGCAGCATGTGACACAGCAGTGGGTCTGCAGGGGCATGACATGTGCAGCGATGGATTACAATGGCTGTAAAATGGCTAATAAGCCTTATTGGATTTCCAGTAAACAAACATTATCAGACCCTGAATGGATGGCTTATCCATAATGAGCACACGTAGGGCAGTGTGAGTATTTAAAGGGTGAGAGGAGCTCTAGGCCGGTCAGTGGGCAGAGTTTCATGGAAGAGAGGCGCGATGTGCCAGATCTGCTCGGTGTTTCTGTTGCTAGGACACAGGTTGCAATAACAGGAGCAATGTTGCCAGAGGACGGGCTGGTATTTAATCAAAGCAAGGCAGGAGGTCTTGATTCTTTCACTGTGAGACTTCAACCTCTGTTCACCAATACATATTCCAAGTGGGCGAAATGTAGTATTTAAAATATAGCGAGTTCAGTCTAAAGGACACTTATGTAACTGCTGCTGTCGGCTTTGCATAAGTAAACAGAGGCATGCAAACAGCAGTGACTGATGGGATATTTCTGATCTCTCACCTGCCACATTTCTTGCAGGGGAACTCTCCCTCCGGGACAGCTGAGGCTTTGTTGGCTGCGGGGGGGCTGGTTTTACGTGCGTTGGTGTCGTAGCGGATTTTGGAGGCTGGGGGGGGCGGCGGCTGAGG